ATCTTAGGAGGGAGACCTTTAGTCATCGGATCCGCAAGCATATTCTTAGTACTTATATGCTCAATACAAAGTTTATTTTCCTCAACTCGCTCACGTACGAACAAGTACTTTGTATCAAGATATAAAGCAGCGCCAGTCGAACTGTTACTGTTCGAGAAACTAACGGCAGCTGAGTTATCACAATAAAGCTTCAATGGTCGAGACATGGAATTAACTACTTTGAGTCCAGTGATGAGGTTTCTGAGCAACATTCCATGACAGGTTGCGTTGTACAGCGCAATGTATTCTGCCATCATTGTAGAAGTTGCAGTCAACTCTTGCTTATGACTCTTCCACGAGATAGGTCCGCCAGCTAACATAAAGATATACCCTGAAGTGGATTTCTTGTCATCTACGTAAAGGACAAGTATAGTAAAGTTGCTCCCACTCATCTTGAGGTAGGTGCATTGATCCACTTGATTCTTTATGAAACCTTCTGACTTCAAGACTTGATGCAACTTTAGGTACCATTGACATGATGCCTGCTTCAACCCGTTTATGGATTTCTTTAGCTTACAGACTAGGTGCTCTTGACCTTCAGATTCAAATCCTTCGGGTTGTTTCATGAACACTTCTTCATCCAAATTGCCATTAAGGAAAGCGGTTTTGACATCCATATGATGTAGCTCTAAGTCAAAGTGAGCTACAAGGGCCATAACGTTCCTTAAGGAATCCTCTCGAGAGACAGGAGAAAAGGTCTCTTGATAGTCAATTCCCTCTTTCTGAGTGTAGCCCTTTGCAACCAATCTCGCTTTGTAGTGTTCAATGTTTCCATTCGGGTCCAGTTTTGTTTTGAAGACCCATTTACATCCTACGGGTTTTACACCGTTGGGTAATTCAACCAAATCCCAAACATCATTTTTCTTCATGGAGTCAAGATCTTCAATCATGGCGTTATTCCATTCAGAAGACTGATCACTGTTAATGGCTTCATTATAAGAGGTAGGATCATTAAACTTTCCAGCATCCATTTCTGCTTCAGTCAGGTAGGTAACATAATCATCAAAGTTAGTAGGCCTTTTAGACCTAGATGACCTCCTGAGCGAATTTTCGGGTTGAGCATTGGCTTGATGGTGATCATTTGAGGTGTCTTCATTTCTAGGTACATTTGGAGTATGAGGAGGTGCAGTGTCCTGCGGATTGGCATTGAGTACAAGAGGAGTAATTGGAGGTAAATTAATTGACAAGTCTCTTCCCCCCGCGTCTTGTACTTCTAGCAATTCATCATAAGGGTTTTCACTGCTCCCACTGAGCTTAAAATCTTCAAGGAAATGAGCATCTTTGGTTTCTACAATGCGAGTGACATGGGAAGGACAATAAAATCTGTAACCCTTTGAGTGAGAAGGATAACCAATGAAGTAGCAAGTTACAGTTTTCATGTCGAGTTTCTTCAAGAAGGGATTATAAAGTTTAGCTTCGGCAAGACAACCCCATACTTTCATATATCTTAGACTCGGTTTCCTTCCTGTCCAGAGTTCATAAGGAGTTTTAGGGACAGCTTTAGAAGGAACCCTATTGAGTATATGAACGGCTGTTTTTAAGGCCTC